CATTCGTACCCATCGTATAACGCTAAAATAAAAGCAATAATTTAGCTGTGATTCATGAATCTTTTATAATTTTCTATAAATAATCTTATTTTCTTTTTTTTTGTTTCCATAAAATAATCAAACACACACAACGGAGACATACAGATTGCGTGTGAAGCATCTTTTGGCGTCTCAAATAATACCGTTCCGGAGCCTTTTGATCTCCCATCATGGCCAATGAGAATATCCGCCCGAATGATATTTCCTATTTAGTGCAAATTATTATACGAACCAATTAGTTATTTTCCCAACAGTGAATCTAATGAGAAAATAACAATTACCGGCATTCCTAAATAGATCTTTTAATTCTTGCCAACCGATTGAATAAGGAATCTTAAATATTCGCAAAAAATCCGCAATTAAATATTTTAGAAGATCTTGAAAGAGAAATCAAGTAAAAAAAAAACTTCCACTTACATTCCCTACAAAAATTTGTCTTCCTGTATTCCCACCGCTATTACTATGATTATTGTTATTCATATATCCACTCATATTATTGTTATTTCCGTAATTTTGGTTGGATCTTCTATCATTTGCATTATTTAAATTGAGACCATTGACAAATTTAGCTTCGGATTCTCGATCCTGAAAATTAATAATTATGATTAAATAAACATCAGATCAAAAAAAGCATAAGTAATAATAAATTAAAAAATAACCTCGCGAATAAATATGGGTCGCCCAAGAAGCGAGGTATCGTTAAGCGTTTCAATAGCTCGTCTTGCCTCTTCCGGGGTACGGTATTCAACAACGCTAAATGATTTTTAAAGCGAGACGCAAATTTTATAATTAATCAAAAATATTATTTGAAACTTATCCATTTGCAATTTCTTCTTACCCACATCCCTAAAAAATATATAATAAAAATATTAATTTATATTATTATTGTTTCAAAAATACTAAAAAAAGATAAAAGTTACCTTGGACATGCCGTTAGGCTGCAACAAAACATCAGCGAAAACAACTTCACCGGCTACCAAAATTTACAGTAATTTAGTAATTAATAAAAGGGATATCAAATTTTTATAAAACATTACCTTGACGCATGAAATCTTTTAATTGTCCCCATTTTACTTCATACGCCAAATTCCCAACGTATACTCTACATTCTTTTTGTGATCGCTGAGAAGCAGCTATAGCTGATAAAACAAAAAAATGTATAAAAGCATTCTAACCTTCTGAAATGTGAAAGAATTCAAGCTTGCATAATAAAAGAAATAAGATACTTGCCAGCAGTTTCCCTCGGAGTTAAACGACCAGGATAACTTCGATCAGAAGTACGAAAGCTGGTACCACGAGTGGTAGGTGGTCTATCACTTGATCGAGACACCTCTCGCCGCTCACGATGTTCACGATGTTCACGGCGTTCACGATGGTATTCACGATGATCTCTATGATCTCTATGATCACGATGATGGTGATAAGATGAATCCCTAGCACCTCTATCATGACCTCCTCTATCTCTTTCTACGTCTCGATCTCGTCGGTCCGGCGGTTCATAATGATCATTATGTGAAGAACGACGAGAGGGACGATACGAGTCTGCACCTTCTCGTTGTTGAGAGCGTGTTTGTGATAGTGGAGAACGTGAATGTCGAGGGGAACGTTCGATCCCATGTCTGGGTGATCTGGAACGACGCGTAATAGAAGTATGCGAGTGTCTGCGAGGCGACTGAGATCTACTGCTTGATCTTCTATTTATAAAAATCAAAATTTTTTCAATTAAAAAATTCGATTTATTCATATGGAATTAGAAACTAAGTCGTGAGCAAATATCAAACCGTCGTCTAGTCTTATATGTGTCTTCCTCGTCCCCTCTACTACGAAGTGGTCGTTCCTCTACCATATAATGATCTTCGCTTTCCGGTACTATACTATCAACCACGATTTCGTGGGTTATCATAGAATTGTCATTATCCTCCATTGGAGTATGCGGACCAGACATTCTTTTTATTCTTATTATTATATAAATTCGAACTCTAACTTTTGCTTTCCAAAATAAAATTCTGGCACATTAAAAACGCACTAATCACGTGAAAAAATATTTCAAATCATGTGATGTCAGTTTTACGCATACAGACAGTCAAAGATTGGGTTTTACGGGAATAATAATGTTAAAAAGAACAAAACATGAACTCGAAGGAGGTAAGAAAGAACCAACTTAACTTTGACTAAATAGGTTTCTTTACATTTCATTGGGATAATCTTTATTTAACGTTATTCTTTAACGTGCAAATTTCAGACACTTATAAAAGAATTCGGTTCGTGGATACAATCTCGAATGATAATATAGCAGAACAAGGTTGATTATGAAAATTTAAATCTTTAATGACATTGAATTAAAATCTGGTTAATCGCTTAATTGACTGATTTGATTGATCTGGCAATTCTATGAAAAGAAATCAAAGATGACAACACTCTATACACTAGAATCCGTCTGGAGATTATGAACTGCATGTCCCTATTAGAAGCTGAGCAAATTATCGACGCGTTACTGACGTTAAATTGCTGTGCCAGATGTGTATTTCGGTTTTTGGGTATTTTTAGTTATGATTATTATTGTGCTGATGAAGAGGTGAATATTCGTTATTAAATTGAATAATTCAAAATATATATTTTTATATTAAAGTTGATTAAATTCTAGGTTCTTTTGGAAATACTATCACGAATTCGATTAGAAATAAATTCTAAAGTCCTCGACAACAGTAATACTGAGGATAATACTAAGAATAGTGATATTAAAAATAACGATTTTGAATTATCTACTCCACAAATTTCATCTATTATTTCCCGCCCTCTTCAAACAACCGAAAATAAAACAATATGCATCACATGTTTTGACCTTCTCTATTACGCCGACACTTTACAATACGTGAATCACATTTCAGGAAAGTTACAATCGCAGAATTACGAAATCAAAGATTTTGACTTGATCCCTACACTGCCAATAAGTTTAATCTTAAGAAATCATTCAACGAAAATTTTTATTAAAAAAGTGTTAAGGTGACATTTATTTGATCAAGTTATTCAATATTTTTGTGAGCTTCTGACACTTAACATCAAAATAAACAATGATTTTTTAGGGAAAAGAACCTTGAATATAAAGTATTATATCCCGTTGATTTGGTGAAACTATTCAAGTATCTCTTAATTGGATCGTTTGAGAAAACGACAGGGTTGACATATTCACCTGAGAGTCTATTGAAAATCAAAATTGAATATATACACAATGATACTCGGGATAGTCATTTATTTCTTACTAAAATACCAGAGGCTAATTTCTCAATTAAGCGAATAAAAGGAAAAAGAGTATGGATTTTGTTAATTTCATGATTTTCCACTTTAGAATAATAACATCAATCAATCATTATAACCATAACATAATAAGGGTCAGGTACCACAGTGGAGTGGATATTCTCGTAATCAGATTATAGATGCTTTGAAAAAAGTTCGGGATGAAAGATATGTAGAGTATGTGTTTTTGGGATTCAATTTTCTATTTAATTTTTATTCAACTTTTTAATTTTTATTTGATTTTTACTTTATTTATAGTTAATTCAATATTTCCATATCTAATTAAATTGAATTGAATCCCTAGATTTGACAGTTGTCCACCGTTAGAAATAAAAGCCAGAGTAAAACAATTAGAGCCAATAATCAAGCATGAATCTGTGTACATTGGAGGTAAGTTACAATAGTCAAGTTTGAATTGTTATAGTGTAAATAAAAATGATGTTTATGCGGTGATATAATATAATGAATATAGGCAGATACATAAAATTTTCCCGTAACCTTCCACAAACACCATGGATCATTAACGGAGTCCGTTTAAAAGAAGGATCAGTCGCCGAAATTATCGGTACAAAAATAAGACAATTATTTAGAGCAGACGATTATACGTTTGTCCCGTCAGGTCGTGAAGATTTTGATGTACGTATGTTGGGCAACGGACGCCCGTTTTATATTGAATTGAAGAACCCACGCCGGATTGTATCTTCCCTTTTTTCACAAGAAATAAATGAAGTGCAGGATCGGATTAATTCGACTGAGGATAATGGCGAAATGGTTCGAGTTTGTAATTTGGCTATAGTTAAGCAGTATGTATATGTTATTTAATATATATATATATGCGAAAATGGGATAATCCAATTTTTTTTATCTCTTAGAAGTGATCTGCATTATATAAAGCAAGGCGAGGATAATAAAACCAAGACATATAGGTTTGTTTAAATTAATAATCATGTGTCTATGCATAATTTCAAGCTCTCTTTCCCTCATAATATGACTTAAATATAGTGCACTTGTATGTATCTCGGAACAAATCACACCAAAGATCCTCGACAGCATAAACAAATACAAAACAACTGGCCTAACAATCAATCAGAAAACACCAATCAGAGTATTGCAAAGACGTACAAATATGGTACGGCAACGTCAAATTTATGAGATTGAAGCGAGAGCACTGGAAGGACAGTTTATGGTTATTAAATTGGTTACTGCACCTGGAACGTATGTATCAACGACTATTTAATAGTTTCTATTTTGTTAATGGATTTTAATATATCAATAATGACAACTAAAATTACAAACAGTTATATCAAAGAATTTGTTCATGGCGATCTCGGCAAGACATCTCCGAATCTAAGTTCAATTATTGACTGCACTGCCGATATTTTAGAGTTGGATGTATTGAATGTGGATTTGGAATGGCCACCAGATAGCTAAAAGTATTTTTACAACAGAAATTGTTACAAATCTAAACAATTCATTAAAATTATTTTTCTGTTAATATTTAGACCAATAATATTTTATTAATTACAAGAAGTATTATTTTCTATTTAAAAAAGACTTTTATTTTATAAAGAGTTGCTTTTATTTCATTTTTTCTTAATCCAGATCCAAATGAATAATTTTTACTTTGATTTATTTGCTAATATTTATTTTATTTTTTTAAATATATAGTTTTCATAAATACCAAATTTTTTCAAAATAAAAAATTAAATATAAATATAAAAAATAATTTATTTTAAAATACAATTAAGTAAATAATAAAATATTAATATCAAGAATTTCTATTTTTCTTATTGATATATTCTTGAATATAATTAAAGATTAACTTTTAAAAAGATTTTTTTATTTATTTTTTATTAATAATATTGATATTTAAAAAAATATGAATATTATTATAATATAAATTTTTATTAAGATTATTTAATTAATTAATTCATATTATAATACTATTAAATTAATTAATTATATTTTATTGAATATTAATTTAAGAAGATATTACTTATAAATAATAATGATATTCTTAATAATCAAAGTTATAATCTTCTTATTATATAATGTATTTTAACAAGATATTTACATAAAAAATCAAGTCAAAAGTAAATAGATTTAATTTATAAACTTATATTTATTTTATTAATATTAAATAAATTATTAAATTACAAAATAAAAAAAAATATCTTTAAATAATTAATTAAAAAATATATAAATTATTAATATATAATACTTATATAATAGTATTTTTAGAAATACTTATTGTAATATAAATATAAAAATAAATAATTATAAATAAATTATATAAAAAAAAGAAAAATATTAAATATAATAAACAAGAATGAAAAGAAATTTTAATTAGAAAATAAATTAATAATTTATTTATCTTGTATAATATTTATCTTTAAGAAATAATTCTTAATATATAATATAATATATAATATAGTTATTATAATTTATAATTTATAAAATTAATTAATTACAGATTTATCTCAAGAAAAAAAAGAAAGATAAAAAATAATTAATTATAATTTTTTATATTAATACTAATAAAATATATAAAATAAAATTATTTATTATTAGCAAGTCATATAATTTATATTATTTTAAAAATATAAATCATATTAATTTAATATTATATATAAAATAAATAAAAAACTTGAATAATAAAAATTTTATTTAAATAATAAATTAAAGTTTTTGATATAAAAATAATAGATTATAAAGTAATTTTTTTAATAGATAATATATTAAATTATATTATTAATTTAAATATATATAATATAATTATTTACTTTTCTTTTTTAAATATAATATTTCATATTTAATTAATAAATATTAAAATTATTATATTTTTTAAATAGAATTATTAAAATTATTTTACAAAATAATTAATTAAAAGATATAAAATTAAAGTAAAAATAATAAAATAAATATTCTTATAATAATATAATTTATTATAAAGACTTGATATAAAATATTAATAATAATAATATATAATTATTTTTAATATATTAAAATTCTTTTTATAAATAATAATAATAATATTAATATTAATAGTAATAATAATAATTATATTAATAATAATTTAATAAAAAAATATAAGAAAATATTAAAATATTTCTATTATAAAATAAAATAAATAATAATAAATATATTAATTATTCTAAAAAAAAAAATATTGACTAATCAAGAAATTATTAATTTAGTTATTAATTAAAAAGTTAAAATAATAAAAATAAGAAAAAAATAAAAATAATAATATAATTTAATAAAAAATTACTTATAAAAAAGTAAAATATTTTAGAATTATTAATTTAATATTTTATATAACAAAATATTATTAAGTTAGAATATAATAATATATTATTTAAATTATTTAAAAAAATTAAAAAATTTTAAAATATTTTATTAATAAAAATTAATATTAATATTTACTTGAAATATATTTAATAAATTCTAATTTTATTAATAATAATTATATAATAATATATTATTAACTCTTTTTAAATATATAAATTTCTCTAAATATATACTTAAAGTTAATTCTAATAGTATATATTTAGATAAATATAATTATTTATTTAAGAAATAATTATATTAACTATAATAATTTTAATTATTATATTTACTTTAAAATAAGTATAAGTTTTTAAGATATATTTTAAGCTCTAAATTAGAATTATACTTATTTTTAAATATATTTTTTTGAATAATAAATATATAATACTTACAAAAAATATTATTTAATTTATATATATAATTATTTTTTAAAAATATATTTCTTTTTTTTTTAATATTACTTTATTTACTTATTACTATTTTATTAATACTATAATTTTATTAAATTAAAAAATAATATTTATTTATATATAACTTAATAAAATTGAAAAAAAAGAATTTTAATATATAAATATTATTTAAATTATAAAAATACTTAAATATAATTCTATAATAATATATTATTTTCTAAATAAATATAAAATAAATTAGAAAAATAAAAACTTATTATATTCAAAAAGATTACAAGTCTTGAATAATTATAAAAAAGATTTATTATATATAAAATTAACAAAAAATAATATATATAATTATATAAAATAATTAATAATTTAGATCTCACTTGTAATTTATTAACTATTATAAATATATTATATAACTTCAGACTTTACTTATATATTCTAACAAAGAAATCTTATATTTTAAAAATATATATATATACTTATATTAAATAGTATAAAGAAAATAAAAATAAATTAGCTTATAATTAATTAAAAATAATTTTTTCTGATAAAATCAATATAAAAATTAAAAAATAGTTATAATAATTAAAAATTTGATAATATTCTTAAAAAAAATTTAATATTAATTATTTGATATTTATTTTTAAAAATAAATAAAAATTTATAATAATTTGAAGATATTTTATAAAAGAATCATTAATTTTTGTAATGAATATAAAAAAATAATAAAAAATAATTATAAATATCTATATCAA